ACGGATGTATATCGGCAAAAAATCGTAACACGTCAACTGTAATATCGAAAAATTCAAAAAAAAAACGAGTTCTAATATCAATGCTTTCGTACTATAGATCCCAGCTCAAACTGAGCAAAATCTCTTCTTTGTTCTAAGAATAGGTGATTTTGCTCCTATTTGTCAATCATTAACAAAATTTCGATAGCAAAAAGGAGAGCGTATTTTACTGATTTTCGTCATCGCGTTGTGTTAATTAAACCAAAATAGCGAGCCAATAAATGATCTTATTAAATCATTTTATTTTTTCGCTGAATACTTCACACTGTCGGCTACAACATTCTTATGGATCGGTTTTTCCAATGTAGTGCGCATCCAGAGAAAAACATGTCACCCTTAACTTTTTCTGTCCATTATTCATCATTGCATTTCGTTCAATATTTTTGACAGAATTTTCAAACGACTAAACGAAATCGACTCGGGTTTTCAGAAATTGCGATAGGGTAGAGAAATGCATCATTTGATGAAACAATCAAATATCTAAATAGTCTACTTTCGAAAAAAACTCGAAAAAACTGTGGACAAAACGTCATCGCGTCACAATTATGGAAGCCGATATATGTGTTCTATACTCTTTCAGTATTCACTATATTTTCGCGGTTGAATGTATAATTTCTCCTATTTTGATACATAAGTTTACAAAAAATTCAGAATATTTTCTTTTTATTAATCTTTTACATGACAAAATGATGTTCATGATGACTATCCTATTTTAGCAACAAAAATTTTCATAGTATTATTATTTAATAAATAGTAATTACTCTCTCGAACAACTAATCTTACTTCACAAATTTCTTCTCAATAAGTTTTTAAATAATCTTTCAATTTGATATATAATTCACCAACAACATATTCTTCAATAGGTACATCATTTTGTCGATTATTTCGAGTAGATCTTCTTGATGGAATGCGTTCTAATAAATAGCGTAAACAATATTCATAAACCACACTATAAAAATAATTCAAATATTGAAAAAAAATAAAAATAAAAGATTAAATTTGTATTTACATAGAAACTTCCATATATAGCGACTTTGAGATTCCATGAGTTCGATAAATATGTTCAAGACCTTCCAATATTTTCTTCCAAACATAATCTGTAGAAAAATTATAATTCATGTGCAACATTTTGTT